TATATATTCTGGATGTAATAATCAGAGCACTTAATGCTTTAGGTTCAGGTGAATTAGTGCATCAAGCGTATTTCCAACAGTCTGTTATAATACATTCTCTATGGAGTGAATTGTGTTCCATTATTGCTCCAGGGAATGAATGGGTTTTGTAAAAATGCAGTCCAGAAATGAAACCTTGGAAAAACAAGATATTCTGTGTGTGATGGGTGACACCTATTTTTTAATATGGAAAGGGGGCAAGCAGAAGCTTTTGGGCATCTTTAAAAAAAAAAATTCTGTTAAATATTTGTGAAACTGTGAAAAAAAAAACAATTCTCAAATGAATAAATACATAAACAAGAAAGAAAACTTCATAGATCTGTTTTAGTTTAATCTTTTATTCATATTTTTCTATTAAAAATATCTTCAAAACTTATTTTTAAGGCAAAGAAAGCATTTAAGTTCAAAGTAAATGTATCACAATTAAACCATATATATGCATATAAAAAAACTTGGATGTGTGTATTTACATTGGAGGAGATACAGAAAAAAAAGTTCAAGTCGCCATGGAGACGTGTCAGGAATTGAAAGTGGCTGATTGGAAAGCAAACAGCTGCAGAATGCGCGATATAAAACAAATGCTTAGAAATGCAATAAAAAGAACATAATTTCAGATGCAACATATTGTGTCATTCACTGCAAGCAAATAAACATTTTGAAAAGATCATGAAGGATAATCAGAAAAGCAATAAACTAAAACAATCCTGTCAAACAGGTTCTGCTCTTTATATGGCACAATTAACCCAAAGATGTATAAAAATAATAAGAAAGTTAATAAGTACAGTTGCCTTAGTTTGATCGATGTTTTAAAGCAATGCTGCAGAGCATACAGTAACAAAAAAATTACTGACTTTAAAAATTCTGTCTTTGCCAAAAACAAAACAGAAATATTACTATCTGCAGCCCGAGACAGATATTAAAGAATGAAGAATCTTATCCAAATAATTTAGGTTTTAGATTTAAACACGTCAAAAATTGAACTCTACAACGTTCCTATTTCATTAGGCTTAATATTTTTGAAGTAGCCTATTCAGAAAAACATGATGACAACTGAACAAATTATTTTAAATTCAACAAGAGGAAAAATGTATGGAAATTTAATGACATAATTAGCATTTTATCCATTTTATAATAATGCTCAGTAACTTTGGTGTTGCATTTCCCTTTTAAAATTCACCTTTCTGAATATTTAAAATAAAATCTTTTTATGTTACATCAACTTTCCAGTGAAGTTTAGAAGTGAAAGATGATGCTTTTGGATATGAAGGCTAAACATGTTAAAATGAGATTCAACTTTAGCTTGTTCGATGTTAATTGCTAAATGTTAGCTTGCTAACAGATTAAATGAAGATTTTAAATGAGGTACTGTACATTATAACCTAATAAACAGCTTATCTGTGGTAAACATGTTAGCAAGCTAACATTGTAATGAAATGCTACTAGCATTTTAACATGCAGGTTTATGGCACAGAAAAATACAACAGAATATAAGCGAATTGGTTAACTGTTAATTGATATTGAGTGATATTATCAGTATTCTAGCGTTTTAATTGATATTAGCTTTAAAACTAAATATGGGATATCGGCTGTTCCACCAATACATTCACTGCTATGACAAAAACGTGAGGATTATGCCTTCGTCCGCAGGTTACTTGCACTCAATTGATGGCTTATGGCTGGTTTATACTCGGAAACCAGGTCGTCTGCGTGTGTCGCAGTGAACGCAAATGTTCCCCTGCCCCTTCCGTAGACACTCTGCTGCACCTCTACGAAAATGTAGGTGACCGCAGACAGTCATGCAGACAGGAGGTCTCTGATTGGTCAAATCTACATCTGATCTACACTATGCGTATTTCGTGTTTGGTACCGTACCGGCTTGTTTTGTTTGTATGACCGAAATTGTGGAAAATGACTCATGAAGATGGACCAGCTAGAAGAGCGAGGTGCGCGAGAACGCGTCTAGATCCCCGCTCTTTTTCGCCCCTCTGTTGTCCCAAAAACTTGCCCTTTGCGTTTTTCCACTTCCTCATCGCCTGGGCCGTATCAAGACATGCAGCTAGTCCGTGATTGTCCCTCTTACATTTTGGCTTGGAATAACATAGTGCAGACCATGTTTAAATATTGGGCATAAATCAAAAATGTCTGCGACAAGCTCACTGCGACACACTTACGCAGGAGTATAAGCAGGCCTTTATTCTGTCACAAGTTGTTTTTCCATCAGCTTTTTCTAATGCGCATTTTGAAGTATCCCATCAAAAAAGTTTGATGGAGACAGCAAAATAAAATAAAAGCTTTTATTCTCGCTTGGGGTGGTTTTATGCTATTGCGAAAAAGGGTTGATACTCAAAACGGGGGATGGAAACACTTCAGATTAGCTTATATTGAACTTTTAACTCACATGACTGATCAGCTGTTTCTGATGTTGTCGTTTTCCTGCAACCTCTACTTTCTGTTGATTACAGCAATGTTTGAGGACGTACTTTGGACAACGACATTACGTGGCGCTTGGTTAATAAGCTTTAAACTGAATGGAGACACCACAAATTCGCATTTCCTTTCTAAGAACTTTTAAAAGTTCACTGAAAGTTCACAGTTCTGTTGGTTGGAAACACGGGTACAGAAGAGATGCTGAAGCAAAAATGACGGTGGTTTGGTTGAATTTGAGAAACATCCAAAAGGCTAAAAAGGGGGAGGAAAACTATCTAGTGTCTCAAAGGCCAAGTTCACATTGCAGACCTTAATGCTCAATTCTAATTTTTTTGTGATATCCAATT